GGGTGCCTGGGATGGGTGAGCCTTTAGGAGATGGGGCCTCACTGGAAGAGCTGGGGTCCCTGGGGTGGCCCTGAAGGGGACACTGTGACTTTCATCTGTGCTTGCTGCCGCTCCGCGCATGCTTCCTGGTGGGCTGATGTGTGCGCTTTGGCATCACCACATGCCCCGGGGAAGTGACCCCAGACCATAGGCCGAGCTCACCTAAACTATAAGCCACAGTGTGTGTGTTTTCTAACTCAATTATCTGTGATATCTGTGACAGTGACAGAGAGCTGGCTGCCAACATCGAACGTAACAAACCATATTTCATAACAGTCATGACATCATTGGTTGTGGGAGATGACACTGCGGTCCCCAGCACTCTGCCAATTAAGCAATGAGTCATGCAGTTTTAAGACTGGAATTCTAATTTTCTACTTAAAGAACCGCTAGACCAGCCATAGCGAACCTTTTAGAGATGAGGTGCCCAAACTGGAACCAAAACCCCACCTATTTGTGACACTGTGCTGACACTGCCCCTGTACATGCTGTTACCCATGCGTGGCTGCTGGGGCAATGCCTGGTGACCTGGCTTCCGGCTGACAGAGAGAGCCCTGTGTGCCCGCCGTGGCACACGTGCCGTTGGTTCACCACCAGCTCCAGACTTTCTTAGGAATTCCTTGCATACATAAAGTAAGTATAAACGAACTAAAGTGGCCTCTGCATTCCGAAAGAATCTTCAACTACTAAGTCAACTCTTCAAAATTACAGGTCCACAAAGAGTTATGGCTGCTTCCGTCACTGGCCCTGGACTTGGATCACAGTGCTCCTGTACGGTCTCTAGGACTGTCTCCCAATCAGCTGACCCCCAATCTCCAAATTCTGACACACAGTCATGATCCACAAATTAAGCTGTCAGCCTTTTCTTTGCCACAGGGCTGCCTTGTAAACAGATCCCAAATTCGGTGGTGTTAAGTTTTTGAAAACACAAAGTTTCAGAAATGAAACATGGGGCTCAATCAATATACACAAACTCATTATTTGAAAATGCATGAAACTGACTAAAGAAGGAAAACTGAAACAGAAAACAGATTTTATCTGTTCAGCCCAACACCAGGACCAGTGTCACTGTCATGGCTTGGCACTGAGCCAAGTCGGCCCTGGCCTCCGGCACCTGCTTCCCCACCTCTTCTGTGCTTCTGCTCCCTGACACCCTTCCAGACACTGGTCAGTGGCCAGGGGCAGAGGCAGAGCACTCCAGAGCTGCCCCCGCCATCCCTTCTTCCTTAGTACTTCAGTGTTTGCTTCTCTGAAGCGGCACAGCACCTAGAACCTGCATGACGCGGACGGAGCGGCTGGCGTGTGAGGCACCCACCAGTAGAAGCAATGGCACGGGCCGGAGCCTGGCAGCTCTCTCAAGGATTTAGAACTCTCCTTGGTTTGGGTAAGAAATCCCAAAAGAAAAAAGTTCCTGCCCCACAGCAGGCACTCACCCAGGGCAAGTGGAAGGAAAATGCATTCAAGAGCAGGTTAAACACTGCATCTGTCCTCCTGGTCTCGAGTAGATGTCCCTCCCCTTTTGTTTGCAAGGAAGGGCTCTAAGAACAGTATATCAAGACGTCAGCAATCTAGAAATTAAGTTGTCAGCTTTTTCCTCTGTACTGCAAATTACAAAAGAATTAGAGGTTTGGTACTAATAGAAGCTTATACCACTAAAGTGTGCAATTTAAGCAATCATCTCAAGGCCTAAAAACGTACGCTGCAGACATTTCAACCAAGTGATCTGCAGTTCTGGGACCTAATTTCTATTTCTACTTCTCTACTTCAAATACTTTTTTTTTCCTCTTCAGAAATGTTTTCTGGAATCACAGCTCAGTAAGCACTGCACTGAGCTGCCTCACGTTCAATACACTCACCATAGGGACAGTCACCTTAGCAAAGAGGGACAGAAAAGGACAATGAATATGTGTGGCAGCTCTGTGGATCTTCAGTTTTTTCCCTACTCCACACTAAATCCAGAAACCAGCATATCAGTGTACTTTACGGCTTCACAATTCCTCCGTTCCTTTTGTAATTTATTCAACACTAACTTGAAAGAAACGTCTCTGAACATCTCTGCACAAGAATTTCCAACATGGATTAAAATGTTAAATCATAAAACAATTGGCAAGCAAAGCAAAAATTAGTGATGGAAATCGATGACCTCAGACCACTGCAGATATCTCTTGGGCTTGTGAAATCCCCAGTTCTCACAATTTTTTCAAATTGCCAACTGCGATCATGTCACTTAAAACAGGTCAGAACAGTGCCTGCTCAGAAAATAAATTGCATCTTTAAAGATACTACATACTTGTAAAAGGACAACCTTAATAATCTAAACTGCAAATTTATCAAGGATGCTATTTTAGTACAAGGAATAGTAAGAAATACACTGGCTTCATGCATAAACAAAAATATTGACTCATTACTGTAGTTCTTTAGATAAATTTTAAATGCCCCCCTAAAAATTATACTATGTTCCTTTATAAGAGAAATATTCAAATTTCTGCTCTATCTCCACAGGGACATCTTGGTCCCGGATCTCTGAAGCGCCTGTTCCCGGCCAGCTTACATTGCCTTCTTCTCCAGTTGAACAGAAAATACCTCGTAGCGCAGCTCAGTGTGAGAAGAGAGGCACGGAGCAACAAGGTTACCCAGCCAGATGCCTCTGACAGTCTGGCTTTTGCCTGCCCCACCCTTGTCTCCTCTCAGCCACAGTGATGTCATAACGCCAGGCAGGGCAGTGGCTTCCGGTCCCGGTCCCAGTCCTTGCTTCTGAGCACATAATTCTTTACAGCCAGGGCAAATCACATGATGGCACAGCACCCCAGGAGCCAACAGTGCCTGATGAAGTTGCAACAAATGAGCAGCCATGGAGCCAGCCTTGTGGAGGATAGGGATGCTGCAGGAGCACCATTAGGGATCTCTCTAAATGAAGAGCCCTGAGGCTGAGTGCGTGGTTTCCAGCCGGCCTGGGTTCTACAGCGAGGCTGACCAGCTATGTGGAAGAACCCATGATATTTAAGAATGACTACAACATGCATACGATTTAAGAAACTTCTCTTCCTCACAGTCAGCGTTGCACAGAAAGAAAGTGTATTGCTTTTCAGCCTAGTCTTGGAGTTCTGGTTTACTGGCAAGGCCGTGAATTCTAATTCATCAATTTCAGATGGTTTTTTAAAGCACATGCTTAAAAGATGAATGCACACCCTGCCACATGGGGGAAGGTACTTGTACTGCACATCCCTGTCATATGTAACACAAAATACAGTAAATTCAGAAAGGATTCCCAAGAGGACAACATCATCTCAGGCCATAGATGGTGCTACTTAGGTGGTTTCAATGCAACTGGGCAAACAATTAAAAAATGGACACATAAAACTGCAAAAATCCCTAATCTTGTATTTCAACACAAAGTTGGCCCATATCCAAGTGCCACAGAAGATCTGACAAAAACTGCTTTAACCTAAACCACATTCATGCAGAAGGAATGACTTACAAAAACGTGCCCACATGACAGAGACTCTGGCCTTCAGCTCTGCTCCTCAATCCTTCCTCTAAAAGTGGCTGACAGCTCAAACAGACACTTTTCTTGTGACCAACAAAACAGTCTGTTCTGCAAAACTCACTCGCCTGAGTGCATCAGCTAGACTAACTGTAGGCAGCAACTCGTGCATCTGATTATTTCGCTTTTCTAGCCCATCAGAAGATCCTTCTACAAATGAGACAGCATTTCCCATCCAGCCTTCTTCATAAATGTCCTGGAAATTAGAACTAACGTCACACTTCTCCAATTTTGAATACATTTACTCTTACAATAAATTTAGGACCCCAACTAAAGTTTGGAGCGTTTTGATGCCAAATTAGCATGTAGTGAAAAAAATAATCTTGCTGAGCTCATGTAGAAGCCACCTTCCGGTTCAAGGCATTCATGCAAGTTTGATGCACTCCTCTGTCGCCACTGAGCTGCGTTCCCGGCTCCCACACACAGTGTGTTATCATTTTCGCGTCCTTGGGCCTTTAAAACAAATCAGTGCAAAATTAAAAACAATGTTTCCAGCGCTTGGCATGACGATTGTTCTACCAGGAAGCCAGCTCTACCCAGAGAAACTCCAGCTCACCTGGGTGCCTCGGGGCCCCAAACTGGGCCAGAAGCAAGGCCAAGCGAGCTCTGTGCAGACGCAGCTCCGCAGGGCGGCGCGGAGAAGCCGAGCCCCGGCCTGCACGGCGCCGGCCCTGCCACGGCGGATCAGCGCCACATGGTCCCTCACCGTTCCTGTCGTTCCGCCACGGTCTCCTCCCAACTTCAACCCGGGCCTGCGCAGGCGGAAGGACCCTAGGTAAACTTCAGATCCGCTGCTCTAGAAGGGGAGCCGGCAGGGTCGCCCCCAGCGTCGCAGAGGAGCACAATTACGATTTACTGGGTAACCACACCCACCGCATTGCAGAAGCCGCGAACCCCGCCCGGGGCGCGAGGGGGAGGGGAGGGGAGCAAGTGGGGTGAGCGGAGGGGTCCCCGAGACCCAGCCCGCGTCCACACCTCTCGCCGCCCCCGCGCTGCCCGGGGGATCCCGCCCTGCCTGGGTGGGGGGGGGGCAGGTGCGCAGCTGGTCTGGCGCCCCGAGGAGGCCGGGCAGGTCCCCCAGGTGCCCAGGCCCGAGACCCCGCCGCCCCCGGCCGGGCGGAGCGAGTTACATAAACGTGGAGATGCTCCGTGCGCACCCCGGCCCCGCGGCCCAGCAGTGCCACCCCCGCCCCGATCGCCCCGGCCCCGGGGTCCTCAGAAACGGGGTCCCCGAAACATGGCGCTCCGGGGCGGACCGAGCAGCCCCTGCGCCCCTCCGGAGGCCCCGGCCAGGCCGGGTCCGGAACCGCGGTCGGTCCCGGGCGCGCAGGGTGGCGCAGCCCACAGCCTCGCACCAGGCTCGGGCGCGCCCCGGGGACCCCGCACCCCCGTACCCCGGCGCTGGCTGAAAAGTTACCTGGGCGCGGGCAGGCCGGCTGGACTGCGGCGGACGCGCTGGCGCGGGAGGAACCGCAGCCGCCCCGCCCGGCGACACGCAGCCCGCGGACCGACGCGCGGCTCCACGCCCAGACTCCGCGGCGGGCGGGGCGTCCCCGGCAGCGGGAGAGGGGTGCCGTGACCTTCAGGTGAGTGGTTTATGGGCCCAGGATGCAAGACGTTTATGATGCTTTCGCGAGAAAAAAATCAGAGGGGATGTGTGTCTCAGAGACTGGGAGTCAGGAAATTTTAAGTTGATAGAGAAGACTTGAATTGAAGGCTGCGGAAAAGAGGCTTCCGCTCCATCCGCCCGCACCCCAGCTCCTCCCCACGCCGGCCCCACGCTCGCTCGGGGCTGGACGGCTCAGGGCTGGACGCAGAGGGGAGGGCTCGGCGCGTGGGCGGGGAGCGGTTCCCTTCCGAGCCTCCAGGCCAGGACCCAGGGCTGGCAGCCCCCCTCCCCCCAACTCCCTGACCCCTGCAGGCGGTTGGCGAAGGATGAGGGCTCGGAAGGAGCCCAACGATGCTCGCTCACAGAAGCCTCTCAGCGAATACAGGGGGCTGGCCCATCGCCAGGAGGTGGGCGCAGGGGCCAGGTTTCCAGGAGGGGAAAACCCCACAGAAGAAGGACGTGGTGCCCTCCGTGGTGGCAGAGTCGCAGATCCATGGCAGGGAAGTTGAAAACCTGTCCTGCCTACTTTGCTGTGGCATTCTCAGACCCGGCTCCTGCAGGTGTGCCGAAATTTTGATCCCGGAAATATGACTGAAGTCACGTTTGTAAAAGACAGTGTGGCATTTTACAGTCTAAAGGGGCAGTATCAGGTCACTTAGGAGGCCAGTGTGGCCCTGACCCAAAGGCCTGACATAGTGAGCACCTAGGCGGTCCTTAAAGGTGACAGCTCAAGTACTAAGTTCAGGGCTCACTGAGCTTAGGCTTTCTTCCGGAAATCCCCGTCTGCACCGCGCGCCCAGCTCTTGCGCACAAGGCTGTGTGGAGCCGCTAGACCAAGAAGCTAGCTCCCCTCTGCAAGTGGCCTGGAGCACGTCTTGCTGTTTACAGTGCGCTCTGAGTTGGCGTTATCGTGGGGACGCAGATGGCTTTCATACTTTCATTCATTTTACTGCGGCATTTTTGTTATTTTTTAAATTGAAGCAAACTGTTCTCTCCATGACTCATGAATCTTAATCTTTTTGGCGAGGAAAAGCAGGGTTAGTACACGAATGACTCGTGCCTAGGGAGGAGAGCGGTGGAACGACGTGGTCCATTAGGAAATGCAGGAATACCTCGCCAATTATTGAAATAGTCTATGAGCGTAAGAACACAGCTGCCTAGTGAACCTGAGAAGCAATTATGGCGACATACTTGGGTTTGACCAGCGTCTTCCACCACTGTCACTTCTCCTGGCACAGAAGTGCCCGCCTTGCACCAGCACCACCCAGCTCCCTGCGAACTTGCTTATGTCTCTAACCACACTCTTCCTGCTACCTTGCTGCTGTCTGGCAGGTTCCCACTTCCACCCACCCCCAGGCATCTCTGTCTCCCCACAAGGCCTGCTGGGTCCACTGCAAGCCAACCACTCATTCTGGGCTAAAAAATGAATGGGCCTTGGAACATGAAGGAAGGTGTCTCTTGTCTTCCACTTTGCTGGTGTAGAAGTAGAAGGGACTGTTTTCAAAAATCGATCCACCTCAGTGATAGCAGGGTCCCACAAGAGATACAGCATCCTGATACCCCGAGAGCAGATAATGAAAAGTAGATGATAAAGCAAGTCAACAAGGAAAAACACCAGCACCAAGAAATAAAATGAGCTCTTCCACAAGGAAGAAGGAAAACCGCAAAGCCGTAGCAGGTGGCGATTTGTTCACAGCTGGACTTGATTGCTTTCTTAGAAGCTGAACTTCCCGCCACCTCCTTCTCACTGTCCCAGGGAAAGCCTGGTTCACACCCCTCCCACTCAGAGAAGGCTTCATGCTTGTCCTCCTCCAGGGACCCTTCGCAGTGCTCCTTCTGTAAGTTATGGAGGAGGTCGGGGAACGCCTTTCACGCGCTTCCAGAGCCAGCTCTGATTTGGCACAAGAAGGCCGTTCTCCAGATTCCTACTTTGTTCTCTTGGGAGAGGGCTGTGAACGTGAGACAGACACGGACATCCCCCATGGAAAGGTGGGCCAGGGAGACAGCTCAGCAGCACAAGTTCCTTAGTTCGATCCCAGGTACAAAAAAATAGTAATAGTAATAATAAAAGGAAGGGGAAGGAGTCTCATCCTTGGTATTCTGATGCTTATTGTAGAACTCTTACTCATGGGCCTCCTATAGTTGCTCTACCACACACCCCTGAAAGCCGAGAAGCTGACCAGAACGCTAGCTGTAGTTTGGCAAAAAGGGTGTACCTTACTGCCAGTAGGATTGTGTGAATTCAGCCTAAGCTGAAGAGCCAGATGCCCGGAACCTCCACCTACCATGAGAATTAATAGAACCAGGACCCATTGGTACTCCGTGGTACTGAACGAGAGCATCGACTGTAGCCTGCAGCCCAGATAGGGATGGGCAGAGCTCACAGGTCCTGCTGACAGTGATATTGTCAGCCTCAGGATTCCAGATCAATGATAGAGTGGCCAGTGGGCCCATTTGAAGTTCAGCCCCAAACGTGGGGATTAAAGGAGTACTGAAGCTTAGCCCAAGCCGACAGCGCCAGGCTGCTGGCCCTCTCACTCAGCTGTCCTCCTCTGCTCAGACTGACTTAGTGAAATGCTGCCAGCCCTTGCTACAACTGCTTGCAGTGCGCTTTGAGTAGCACCAGGCACCTGGATTGCATATCAAATCCTTAAAAGTAGAACCTAATGTCTTCAGCCGCAGTGTCGCTGGAGACCGTTAGGAAGAGAAATACAAGGATGAATTCATAATTCAAAAGCAACAGGCTTCTCCTGCTGAGATAAAAATCTGGAAGTGTTTCTAGGCTTTAGGAGCGTGTTCAGAGCTCACAAAGGATTCAGGACGTGCCGTGATACGGGGGTGCACACCTTGTTGAAGGCACCTGTACACGGGCAACGCACAGACGCAAGGTGAAATAAAAATTATCAGCACTACAAATGCATCACAAAATGCACAAAAGCCTAAGTGCTAGCACACCACAAAAAGTCATTCTTAGGGACGGGGAGATGGCTCAGTGTAATAAGCGCTTCCTTGGCAAGCGCAAGGACCTGAGTTCAATGCCCAGTTCTGGAAAAAAAAAAAAAAAAAGTCATTCTTATTCACCTCAATTCCACATGTCCCTTGTCGTTTTTATTTGTACTCACAATAGCTACAAAGGTGGGCCAACACCTGTCATGTAAGTTTTATCGTATTAAAATAGACCTTTATTATTTTTTTGGCTTTCTCCCTTTCTAGTCAATTTCAGAAATAGATCTTAACCCTGTTAAAGAGAATAATTTCTAACAATAAATTTATAAGGGTTATTCAAATGCCTAGTTTTACATAAACTTGAAATGTTCAATAATTCTATTCTTTTCCCCTAAAATTAAGAATCCAGTCTGAATGCTTTCTCTTTGTAGTTTTTATATATAATATAAAAATGAAAAAATAAAATATAAACAATGGGAACTGGTGATCCAAAGCATTAAATGTAACTCCCAAATGAATGATTTCTATTGGTTATACCAAGACAGTTAACATTTTTAGCCTCCCTCACCAAAGAAGACATAAAGTGCTGGCAAGCCTGTCTATTGCCTATGAACTTGTAAGTAATCCTGACCAGCCACTGTGCTGCGTTCCAGGAGCTACCAAGGAAAACCAGCTAGGGAAGGAAGGAGCCTCTTTGCACGCTCAGAAATCTGGTTTAACTTCTCAGTGGGATCTGCAGCTTAGCATTGCCCTCTTTAGGTAACTGTGTGGTGGTTAACTTCACAGAGCCGCAGCTACTCGCAGAAAAATGTCTGCATTGCCTACCTGCTTCCCATCGGCCACACACTCTTCCCTTCCGCCTCATCTCGCCGATGTGCACCTCACAGTGTCAGTTTTCACGCCTGGCCCCTCTTACCCTGCAGCTCCCAGGATGCCCTGGGAGCCATGAAAACACCTTCTACAGAGCCTTTGTCACAGGAAAAGGTCTGTGTAGCAGGTCGAAACCACCTGCAAACAGCCCTTGGCCTTGCTCCTGCCCTGTTCTGGGTTCTAGGAGGGTTTGCCTGATTTTCCTGGCTCCTCGAGGAGCCAGGAGGACTCCCGGTCTTTCTCAAGCCAGGTTGGCTGCACATAGTTTTCTCAGTTTTGTTTTTGTGTGAAGAATAAACTTAGAAAGTGATAAACATATTTGTTCCATTTATATCAGAGTGTTTTTAAAATGTACATTTTGGGTGGAGCCTCAGACTAAGCAAAGCACAAGCTCTGAGTCGGAGGCCAGGCATTTTTAGGAAGCTCTCTGGGTGACTATAAATTGCCTTGGGTCTAGGTGGCCAGCTGATACCAGCAGTCCCACAGGTGATGAAGTAATATGCAGGCAAATGTTCACAGAAGCTAGAAGAGAGAAAAAGCTGAGGTTGTATGACATCCTTGTTCACCCACTCAGGTGTCTAAGCTTAAGGCAGCCTGCACTGCATGAGCACATTCCCATTTTGCAGGAGACTTAGTGCTTGGAACCTGTCCTTGTACGCACAGGTCCACAACAGCGGCTCATTAGCAGTGAGTGTAGTAATAAATAACAATGAAAGATTGTTCTGTTCCCGGTCCCAGCAATAATTGCATTAGGTGCCCATTTATTGAAGATTGCAGTAACTGTATGGCTCTGACCCTAATTTCCAAGTGCAGAAAACATCTCTGCAAAGCTGCCAAGGGCTGTCTTGTTAAAAAGGGAAAACGAAGGCTAATCGCTGGCAGTTTTGGTTAAGGCGGAGCTGACTAGCTTAAGCCCAGGAAACAGAGACTTTATGATCATCGATACCTTTCGGTATGACAGACTTAGGCAGACAGGAATTCCTTTGGCTAACCAGTGAACCAAATTGAGTATACTGACTAGAGGGTATATCTGAAAAAAAACTCATAAATCTTATTAAAGTGATATTTTGTTAATTTTATTATATGGATCTTACATTTTTCACATCAATTTGTAAGATTATTTTGGTTTTATGGTTGATAAGATCTATGGGGAAGAGAAATTCAAGTGTCTCTCTCTCTCTCTCTCTCTCTCTCTATATATATATATATATATATATATATATATATATATATATGATGATATATATGATCACATAGTGGGTGGAAGCAACAGAAATAGTTTCTTTTGTTAG